TAACTTTGGTTGCTTTCCAACAAAAAGTACAGGTCAACACAAACATCATTCTATCTTTGTACTCACTAAGGCTCATATTCTGAATTCTTTTTTATCGTTAAAAGCGTCTCTAAACGAGGCTGACAGCCAATCAGAAGGTTTATCACTTTTAGAGATGTTTTTATCGATAAAAGAGAGTTCAGAATATGGGCTTAAATGTGGAACTAAAACAGAATGATTTTCATGTCAACTTGTATCTTGTTAGAAAGTAACTTTTGTTTATCATCTTATACGTGCCTTCAACTGTACGCGATTACTGTGCGAATATTACATATAATGCTTATTTACCGTATTTGAGAAAACTCCTTTGTGAAAATAAAATATTGTAAAAATTTCGATTAGTACACGTGTCAGTATAGAAGTCGTACATGTAATAGCGGCAACGAAACAGCATGATGCGCAACAGGACATATGTAAGACGTAATGTAAGAATTGACCAATTACGATTGAGTATTCGCAAAAATAGCGACCTTACGATTGGACGATTCTCAACGTGAGTTGAGAATCAATTCTTATGTTACGTTTTACGATTACTGTTACGGACACCCACACAGCAATTGATATCTATGCGATATACTAAAATCATCGCGGATATACGAAATATATCTCAATCTCTTGATAATATCATCAGTATATCATAATGAATAAATTTCGAAAATATACATATCCCCATATACAATATCCAAGAGATATCTTATCTCAAATATGATAATGTGTAAAATATATCGTACAGATATCTTAAAGATGAGTAAAAGTTATAAAACATGTACATGGCTAGAGACAGGCATCTTTTTATTATATATTTTGAAAACTATAGGAAATGCACAAGTGACTATGGAGCATATACATCTCGCTGTTTGTCGTCGGTGTGAGTTTTCCATCCGGTTTAACCGCCGTTACATTAAGACGTGTTCGAACATGTTCGGATCTGTGATTCTTTTGAGAAACGTACTTTTTGATATTTTGTTGAAAGAGCCGCAAAAAAGGTCTGAATCCAAGTAAAATAAACAGTGAGTGACAGTTTTCCTAACCTTAATAGTGGTCAACTTTGTCGATTAATATTTCGCTTCGCAGTAGAGAGCGACAAGTTTGTTAGATGAAAAAGTCGTTTCTCGTGTAAAAACGCGTTGATTGAATCTACCTGGGTAGAATTTAATCAGGGCGTGCCCCACGTCTGTAAAGGCTCTAGCCAAGCGTGCCCCAAGATAGGCCTGCCATCCTTGGGCTTAGATAGAGCGTAGAAAAGCAAACTTTGAATGGAATTTCATGAATAAGCTCTGGCTATGCACTTACGAGGATACCCCTAACAAAGCCTGTCATTATTGGGCCTAGACGAAGGTAGAGAAACAAATTCTGAATGAAATTTTATAAATAGGCTCTGGTTAGGCACTGACAAGAATGTCCCTAACAAGATTTACTATCGTCGAACCTAGATAGGGGCTAAACAGGCAAATTTGCAATAAAATTTCGTGAATAGACTCTGACTAGGCATAGGCGTAGATGTCTGTAACAAGATTTATGCTTATAGGGCTTAGTTGAATCAATTTCTGAAATAGTTTCAAATAAGATCTTAAAGAGACTTAAGCAAAATTTAATATAAGGTTGAAATAAAAGCAAAATAACTAACTTTAATTTTAATTTTCCAAAAAAGTAATCAACTAGAAAATTACACGAACGGACTACAAGTCTACATTTAAATTTTATTATAAATAAGTTACTTAAATATTTTACAAATAAATCTAAAGTAAAGAAACGATTTATTAGTAGTTAATGATATAAATAATAACATAATTATTTTTATGAGTGTTTCTACATATGCTGCGTTGGGTAATATAAGATATTTTTATATTATTGCCCGCGCAACAATATTTTAAATAGGTAAAATAAATATGAAGTTTGGTGTTATATTGTATGATATTTAAATAACAATATAAATAGATAAATAATCAGAAGGAAAAAAATAGAAAGTATTTGCACAAAATTCATATTAAATTAACTTATATTTTTATAAACAGGCTCTCGAAGTGTACAACATTGAGATATAAGAGAAATAAGAGCTAAATACTGCTGGAGTAAATATTTAAATATTGGGAGAATAATATGTGTCTGATAGTACAAACGCACGTGCTGGATATTTCCCGAGTTTTATAACGTACGTGGTAAATCAACTTTCTGCCAATCCTGATTACCAATTTTTAATAATAATTTGATTAACCTCTATTATTATCTTATGATGCTAAGAAATTTTAAGTCTATTCTATAGTTGCGAAAAATATTGCGTCGGTCAGGACTTTAAAATGGAATAAAAATTTCGTAGTATCATAGGGAGATAAGAAGGTAAATTACTATTAAAAATTGGGAATCAGAATCGGTTAGACGTGGAAGATTGATTCACTGTGTATGTTATAAAGCCAGAGAAATATCCGACGCATGCGTTTATAATATCAAATATTACTCTTCCAACAATTAAATATACACTTCAACACCACTATTTGCGCTTATTTGCCTTGAATATCTTAATATAGTCATAAATTAAGAATTTACATTATTCTGTGTGGAGTAACGGCATAATAAATATTCTTATCTTCATGTGGCTGATCTTGTGTATATAAACATACTAATTTACATTTTACATGTGTTATTGGTATATTAATTTCTTTAGTGGGATTTTCATCTTTAATTTTTTATATATTTATACGTTCTGAATTAAATGGATATGTATACAAAGCTTTTTTATAGTTAAGTATTTTACCGGTTATCATAATATTGGATGAATTAATCGGTCTTGACAATCGTTTTACTATTACGGATGTCCCATCATCTAATAATAATATATTATCGGGATAAGCGTTTTTAATTGTGAAATTTTAATATTTTAATGAAATAATATTAAAAATATTATCTATTAATTTTTCTTTAATTATTTGTATTGTAGGTTGTTCGGGATTCGACGCCAACGAGCTGCCGTTATAATATTTCAGAAACTCGAGCGAATATACAACTCAAGATATGTAACATATCACGAATTTCGAGCATGTTTATTCGCGAATTAGATCGATCAAGGACACATAAACAAGCGAGTCCGTGGCGCATGCTGTACAATCATCTTGTTGCGGTAATAAGTTTGACGTTGGCATAGCAACCGCGGCCGAAACAATGATTCCGCGAATCACCAGGCGGCACGCGCCGCAGATCTTCTCTCCGCACCGCTTGATCTCCCTTTAAGGAGAGCAAGACTGCTTTAACTTAACGGCGAAAAACCCACCAATCAGCGCGCGACAGAGCACACCCAACGGGTATATTAGATACCGCGCGCGGCAATTCGACAGATTTTCGCTGTAGATTCGTGGCACCATCGCTATCCTTCAAAACGCAGTCGATACTTCGAGTCGCTGACCGGCTTCAGGGGAGACCTGTGACCTCCGCCGCAGTTTGGTCCGCGGTGCGCTACTCTCTCACTTTTGGCGATTGTGCTCTCTCGCGCTATCGCGTTCAGCAGCAGCAAGATTTCAGCATCGGTAATCGCGTTCGATCTACTAAGCTTTCGGTCGTGATCGTTCATACCGACCAACCGCAGATACAAGAGTTCCGTTTTCGGAGCAGGCGAGACATTGTCAAGATCGCGCTGACCAAGAGCGCCCAGTAAATAAAGTTATTTGTTGATATATCGACTCACATCAATTGGTCTACAACCATATCATATCCCGTTCCTCACGTCACCGAGTCTCCTGCGAGGCTGTCCCGGCAATAAGACTTTGCGCGAAACGAAAACGCAAATCTTATACAAGGTGGAATATTAGGGACTTTTCTATTTACGAAATACTTCTCATGAAATCTGCGACATATTTGAGGCAGAACATGATTTCCTGACCGAACAAGTTGTTTGGCATTACCCAGTGTACTTTCAAAAGGAAAGCAAGTTATTCTGCTTAAATTACAATTCATGTTTATAACGTCATCAATTAAGTGAGTTAAATTATGCATATTTATTGATTGTGGTTTTTTTCCGTAATATTTTTGGGATAATTTAACAAATTTTTGAAGGTATTTTTTGCTTTTTCAAAATATGGTAAAGCATATTTATCACTTGATAAGAGGCGACACGCAGCGTGAAATAACAGAAAATGTTTATATAATTTCGGCTGTAATAATGTTTTAAAGAGCAAAGGTCCACTAAAAAGAAGGATGAATCTAAGTTCAGTCGCTTTTAATTTAAAAAAATATTTAACTAATAATCTTGTTTTACGCTGGTATTTACAAGGTATTTGTTTTGACATTTTTGCTGATCTTTCTAACAAAATTTGCTTTTGACGATAATTTAACTTAAATGCTGTATTTTCAAACCAAAATTCAAGTAATTTTTTCATAATTCCAATAGCACAAATGCATAAAATCTAGTACAAAATCATTTATCATGTCTATTGGAGGATAAATTTGTAAAAGTGGGGAAACTCCAAAATGATGCTCAGGTTGTTCCTGCAATCGAAAACTTCTGTCGGTTCTTTTATCATAATTACCGAAAATAAATGCCGTTCTACCTTCACATCTTTCACCTCGTATTACACATTGTTCACATGCAAAATAAGCAGTGTGACCTTTATACTGTTTTAAGAAAGTTCTAGCTGGTGTATCGCATGTGAAGCATTTTATATTGACTTTGAAATGTTTACCGTTAATTTCTACGTCGTTATGTAAAATATTAATTTCATTAATAAAATCCCTTAAGAACAATTCAATAATATTTGGTTTTTCATCAGCACAATAAATAGCAATGGGAAACGGTTTATAAATATCTGTGTAATAATCTATTTTACCTAAAATTGTCCATAACTGTTGCAAACTAGAACGAAATAATGGCATTCCATCTACATTTAATATCAAGTTAATCTGTTTGTTATGAAGTTCTATGTTAATATTTTCAATTCCTTTTTGAATACCAAAGTAGACGAATTCTCCGTTTCCTAAACGTTGAATTCTATATTCTGCTGTTGTTGTATGCAGAAATGCCTTTGATGACTTTGATAATTCTGGAATTAAACGTTGCCTTAAAATACTCAATGATTTATCTAGATGTGCTGCACGAATATTGCAGTCAATAGCCCATTTACGAAGCTCAGAAATATCGTCAAATTCTTCATTGTCATAGTCAGCTTGAAAATGTTCATTGTCATCTATTTCTGTGTCATTATTGTCATTCAATCTGCTTCCGTCGGATTCATCGTTATCCTACAAGAAAAGTATAAGTTGAAATTAAAAAAAAATATAGAAAAAATTTATTTAGACTACTAAATTGAAAAATAATGTGATACATTTAGGAATGCTGCGACAGTAGATATCAACAAGCGTGATTAACGATATGATTTACTTTTTTTCACAAATCACATTTATACATTAGAAAATATTTCAAAGCATACGCAATATAAAGCTGTTCTTAATATTAGATGTATAACTAAATTCCCGCCGTTTTTCATCAAAAGTATTTTATTAATACAAAAGAAATAGTATAAATGTTTTAATCAAAATATTCGCCGTTTGCATCTACCACCTTTTGCCATCTTTCGGGCAGCATATGGATGCCGCGGCGAAAGAATGGCTCGTCTTTCGATGCGATAAAGTCGTCTACCCATTTTTTAACATCTGTGTCATTTCGAAAGTGTATATCACAGAGGCTGTACTGCATCGATCAGAACAAATGATAATCAGACGGCGCGATGTCTGGAGAGTACGCTGGGTGATGAAGAACTTCCCATTCCAGATCATATAATGTTTATTTGACTTCGCGAGCAACATGAGGCCGCGCGTTGTCATGGAGCAAAATGACTTTGCCTTCCTTTTGGATCTTTTCCATTGCGTGCAATCGCTTAGAAATAACGGCTTGAGTTACTCCAAGTTACGTTGCAAGCTCTTTTTGCGTCTGACTTGAATTTTCATCCAAAACAACTTGCATCTCCTCGTCTTTGATCGTCTCAGGCCGTCCAGAACGCGGGCGATCACTCACGTCGAAATTGCCACTTTTAAATTTTGCAAACTAATCTCGGCACGTTCTTTCCGCCACAACATTGTCGCTATACGTCTCACAAATAATTCTAGTTGCTTCAGCTGCTATTTTACCGCGATGAAAGTAATGAAGCATGCAATGGCAAAGATGAACCATTTCAACGTTTATGTTTCGTTGAACTGAAACTATGCTTAACTGTGAAGTAGCCAACCGTCATTGTTGCAATGTATGTTAGCCAACTTTACTAAACAAAACAAATATTGGTACTAGATTTGAGGCTTTCACGGCCATTGAAACAATGTCTAGATATAGTTTTCGGAATGGAGCCGTGTCTTGAATCAGCGATATGCCGACGTTTCGCAAACGTTGCAGTTTGCATCATCAGGGCTGAGAACTCTGATACTGAGCTCCCTTGGGTAAAGGTAGTCCTTATATGCCCCCCTCCCCCCTTTTGTGTAGATGGCGTTTAGGGAGTAGGGACGAGGCTTGAATCCAGCCAATCAGCGTATTTTAATTGATCAGCTGGTCAATTAAAAAACCGGGAGGGCAGTATGCCAAATAGAGTTTACTTGCATACCTTTGTCTCGGTTGAGGTTGTTGGGATGTTTCAAAATTTCTAGACCTTCACGATGTTTTCTGGCAAAATAACTCTGTGA